AGTCAAAAATAAAAATTTAATTTAAAAAAAAATGTAATTGGCATACAATTATATTGTCTATTATAATTTAATTTAGTAGTTTAAACAATCAAATTAACATACCAAACTACCTCAATTAAATCTAAAAGATATTATGTCTATTACAATTTGATTCCTTGTTTAATTTTTTAGTTTTGTTCTAATAGACAGTATAAATATATACTAAATATGTTTTTTTTTTTTTTAAAAAAAATTTTAATTTTATTTCAATAAATAACATAATAGAACATGAATTTTGAATGTAAAATTCATATTCTATTATGAATGACTTAGACCCATTGTTTAATTTTTTTTAGTTTTATTCCAATAGATAGTATAATTATATACTAGTTATGATTTTTTTAAGAAAAAATCAAAATTTTAATTTTAATTTTATTTCAATAAATGATACAATAGAACATAAATTTTGGTTGTAAAATTTAATATATGTGATATTTTATATTTAATTGGAGTATTTTTTTGTCTAAATATAATAATTTAAACTTAAAGGATCTAAATATTATATACCCATAAACTTTAGGGGAGTCTAAGTGTAATTTATTAACGGATATATTTACAAACAGGAGTCTTAGTGTTACATGCTTACAAACCTCAAGGGGTTTGTGTGTAATATTTCAAATGTTAAAGAGTCTGAGTGATTAAGTGACAAACCTAAGAAGGTCTGAGTGTAATTCTCCCAAAAAAATATGTATAAACTTAATTTACCATTATACCCTTATATATGAAAAATAAAGTTTCTATATATAAAATAATTTTTTTAAAATAACACACTTGTTAGGAGATAGTATATAAATTTTCTATATCGAAATAACATACTTCGTTATTTTTTTCGGTCATAATTTATTTTATGAGTTTGTTAATTCAGAGAGAGAGAAAAAGGGGTCATTGGAATTCGGCTAGACGGTAGCATACTTAATTTCCATACATGTGTTTGATAAATGATAAATACGAGTAATGCTACACAGACTTACAATTTAGACTTAAAATATAGATTTGATGATGTGGCTGCTTATGTGTACCAGTCATGTCATCAGTTTCAAAAAAAAAAAAATTATGTTTTTAAAGAAAGATCAGATAACTTGACTGATCACCTTCCCTCTTCCCTCTTCTTCTCCCTTCCCTTTCACTAAACCAAACACAATTTTCTCTTTCACCCCTATGCTGAAGACCTTTTTGTTTAAAAAGAAATTGAACAGTCGATTGTTTCACCACATCCGAAGCCGAACTGATTGTTGTGGTTCTTGGGTGAGGTCTTCAAGGGTTTTTTGAAATACCATAGGGTGGAACCCTACCTGCAGCAATAAGGCTCTTAGGTGAGGTCTTTGATGTTCTTTGTGACTTTCCTATCATAGTTCCCTCTGAAAACTTAATTAGGCTGGTTTCTGAGTGGACAAGTTTTGGCGTAGGGAAGGGGGTAGGGAGGAGCAGATAAAGAAATCCTATGGCTGGCTGACGGGTTTTGGTTTGGTGAAACCGTGAAAGGGACGGGAGAAGATGAGGGGAGATGATTGGTCAAATCATCTGATCTTTCTTTAAAAATAGATTTTTTTTAAAAAAAAACCGATGACATGGCTGGTATATATTAGCAGTCATATCATCAAGTCTATATTTTAAATCTATCTACCATTACTCGATAAATACACAAAAGACAAAAAAATAAAATCACAATGAATAGCCTAACTTCTCTTTTTCCTTTTATTTTTCGTCCAAATTTGAACAATGAGATTTTGATAGGTTGGGAGGAAAGAGAATCCTTCCGGCTTTCCTTTCCATCATATTTTTTCTCTCAACCCAATGGTAGAAACCTTTTTTTTCCATCCTATTTTCCTTCATTTTTCTTCAACCCTATTTTCAAATCTACCAAACAGGGCATAAACAAATTTCAACCATTTCCCCTCATATTACATTAAAAAAAAAGGGAAAGAAATTGTGACAGAGGGATTCGAAAAGTAGACTACCTTTCATAGCAAGACTACTAAATGGACTTTTGGTTCCAATTTGATCCACTAAAGTCGCGACTCAGAGCCCATTTCTTCCCAAATGCAACTCTAATTCTTTGTTTAGAATGGTAACCATTTAAAACCATAGGAGTGGTTCACCTTAATCCAATTTAAGGGAAAGAAAGGGTCATTTAACCCAATTTACAAAGGCTCAATAATTTTTACCAATTAGCAATTTTTATAGGTACCGTTTTGGTAATGTTTTTAAATTTTTTTTAAGTAGGTTTGTTTTTTGAATTTTCTTTTTTCATAAAATATTAATTAAACATGTTTTTTTATTTTTTCTATGATTTTTTTTGCTTTAAAAATATTTATAAATAGCATTGCCAAACAATTCTTTAGATATTATTGATTTTACTTTTATCTTAACATTACTTAAATAAAAAGCTCATCAGCCTCTTCCCGATTGCTTGTCCAGCATATCTATACCAGTGTCGGCCCAACCTTTAGGTCACTTAGGCCATAGTCTAGGGCCTAACGTAGAAGAAAAATTTGGAACTCCAAAATAAAATAAATAATGATTATTTTAGAATATAATTTAAATACTTAATATATATTAATTATTGAATTAATAGTAAGTATTAAGTTTAAACAAAACTCACTATTTATTTAATGTATTTAGTTCTTAAATTAAGTGCAACTAGCATTATTGTAAAAAATTTAAAACCTCTTTTAAAAAAATTTAGGGAAGTTCAGCTTATTTTTTTATTTCATCCGATATTTATATTATATGTATTATCACTTTGCAATCTTATTATTAAAATTAATTGTCTATCGTGTAATAAGTACGAATAATAATTTTATATTTGTATAAGTTAAATTTGACGTCATTTTTGAATAACGTTGTTTATGATGCACAAGATGACTATAAAATAGAGTGAGCAGAAGTAATACACTAGTTATCTTAAATTAATTAACCATAGTTGTCTTACTAAAATTTTTTATTTAAAAATTATTTTTTTTCTCTGTAATATTTAACAATATCTCATTTATTTTAAGACTACTCAACTCGTATAAATTCTTATTTTGANTTCTCTGTAATATTTAACAATATCTCATTTATTTTAAGACTACTCAACTCGTATAAATTCTTATTTTGATATACATTTATAAAAAAATTATTTTACTAGTCAACCTAATTTTCAATTATGTTTCTCTTTTATCTTAAACAAATAGTATGTATTATTATATTTGATTGAGATTCACACAATTTTTATTTGTAAAATTTGAATTAGTATGTTATATCTCAAAAGACAAAATAAATAATTTATAAATAAATATATTTTAATAAGTATTTAATATGACTAAATAAATATTTATAAGACATCGCATAATATTTTCGCTTAGGACCCAAATTAAATTGTGCGGCCCCCTGATCTATACACAGGATTTAAATTGCAAAAAAAGGCTATGATGATGTCATTCAAATGCTGAATGATGTCATGATCTCTAGTTGCAGTGGTGCACAGAAAGACTGTGATGATCTCATTCAAATGCTGAATGATGTCTTGATGGCTCGGATAGAATAATATTATTTGAATTTAAAAATTTATGTTTGCTCGACTCGTGCTTTGACTTTTNTAAATATTTATAAGACATCGCATAATATTTTCGCTTAGGACCCAAATTAAATTGTGTGGCCCCCTGATCTATACACAGGATTTAAATTGCAAAAAAAGGCTCTGATGATGTCATTCAAATGCTGAATGATGTCATGATGGCCCGGATAGAATAATATTATTTGAACTTAAAAATTTAATTTAATATACTGATATAATGATGTGATTTTATAAGAATCATTGGATCAATACCAAGTTTCAATGTTTGATAGGATCTACAGTGAATCTAAAGATTACAGTGAATTAGGTCAACAAATTATGTCAATAAATTAGGTCCCAATAACATTGTTCTTTTTGTTATTAGCTGAACAAGTAAGGGATTCCTCGCCCAATATGTTTGCTCGACTCCTGCTTTGACTTCTTGATTGACTTTTGTCAAAAAAGACATTTATGTTATACAAATAAACGGAGTAGACATGACAAGATACATATGAATCAAAAGAATGAATCAAACTCGAACAAAGTTAAAGTCAAATGATGTCGTAACAATTGATCTTTTGAGTGCAGAAAGTCGGAGCNTCAAAAAAGACATTTATGTTATACAAATAAACGGAGTAGACATGACAAGATACATATGAATCAAAAGAATGAGTCAAACTCGAACAAAGTTAAAGTAAAATGATGTCGTAACAATTGATCTTTTGAGCGCAGAAAGTCGGAACATTGGTCAAGAGAGAGAAAGGAGAAGAACTATAAATCGAGAAAGTTACGTTAACAACACCAAACTAGACACATCTTCTTCTATTATCTTATTTTTTGACTGATCGAATCGGTTACCTCTCAATCAACTCAGACATTTTTAAACAATATATTTATTTTTTATATAATAAAAAAACGTGGCATATAAAATTTTTATATTTTAANAAGAACTATAAATCGAGAAAGTTACGTTAACAACACCAAACTAGACACATCTTCTTCTATTATCTTATTTTTTGACTGACCGAATCGGTCACCTCTCAATCAACTCAGATATTTTTAAACAATATATTTATTTTTTATATAATAAAAATACGTGGCATATAAAATTTTTATATTTTAATTTTAATTTTCATTACTTTATTATTTTTTTATTAACAACTATAAATCATCTAAATAAAAAGTAATAACTCTACATCAATTTCAACACGATATTTTTTTATGTAACCTTATCCCTCAAATCTAATAGCATCTTTGTCTAGTGGCACACATTAACAATAGCTGAAAGAGGAGGCCTCACATCTGTCTGGCAGGGTCCCACTGCCCACAGTGGGGTTGGTGAAGTCNTTTCAACACGATATTTTTTTATGTAACCTTATCCCTCAAATCTAATAGCATCTTTGGCTAGTGGCACACATTAACAATGGCTGAAAGAGGAGGCCTCACATCTGTCTGGCAGGGTCCCACTGCCCATAGTGGGGTTGGTGAAGTCCACACATTATCCTTTTTTTCTTGGCAATTCATCACCAACTTTTTTTTTTTTTTTTATCAAATCATCACCTACCTTGAAATTTATAAAAGTTTACTCTATCAAATAATAGAAAACTTTTTCCAAGAAGGAAGAAGAGAAAAAGGGAAGGAAAGTTTACTTTTTTTTTTTTTTTTTGTTATGGAATATCTAGATTTTCGGGGACTATTCTCTTGAATTTAATGGCTAATCATCATAGCTCAAGTTGAATTAGAGTATGTCTCNTTTCCAAGAAGGAAGAAGAGAAAAAGGGAAGGAAAGTTTACTTTTTTTTTTTTTTTGTTATGGAATATCTAGATTTTCGGGGACTATTCTCTCGAATTTAATGGCTAATCATCATAGCTCAAATTGAATTAGAGTATGTCCCTAAAAAGATAAAAGTAATTAATTTTTATGAAGTGTGGAAAATAATTGAACTTAAATCCTCCGGATTACTAGAGATTAAACTCAACCATTAAATCATCTCAAAAGTTATAGGAAAATTTATACTATTAACACTTTTCAACCACTAATCCTTTGCGGAGAACCCTATTGTACTAGTTCTTTTCATTTGCCTTGCAATATGCAATTATAGCNCTAAAAAGATAAAAGTAATTAATTTTTATGAAGTGTGGAAAATAATTGAACTTAAATCCTCCGGATTACTAGAGATTAAACTCAACCACTAAATCATCTCAAAAGTTATAGGAAAATTTATACTATTAACACTTTTCAACCACTAATCCTTTGCGGAGAACCCTATTGTACTAGTTCTTTTCATTTGCCTTGCAATATGCAATTATAGCATACAAAAACTATGGTTGCAGCTCAAGTGATTTAGATAGGTTGAGAGGTCAATTGGGATTTCTAGATTAGAGAATTCATACTTTGTACTTCACTTAATAATCAAGAATTTCATCTTTTGTTTTGAGTATCGTTTCTATTTAGATTTTTGAACTAATATCACGCAACTCTNCAATATGCAATTATAGCATACAAAAACTATGGTTGCAGCTCAAGTGATTTAGATAGGTTGAGAGGTCAATTGGGATTTCTAGATTAGAGAATTCATATTTTGTACTTCACTTAATAATCAAGAATTTCATCTTTTGTTTTGAGTATCGTTTCTATTTAGATTTTTGAACTAATATCACGCAACTCTATATTTAAGTTCAATGATTGGAGTACACGACTCAAGTTTACACCCAACTTCAATTCTCGAGTTGAACTTGTATTAGTAAATGCATGACAATTATATATAAAAAATAGATTTTGAATCTCAAATAATGAATTCATTGTGAGTTTACCTAAATTTACTAATATTGAACAAGAATTAATATATATCCCGACTCGAATACTATATAAATCTCTATCTAAATGATGAATATTTCCCAAGCTAAAATAGGATGATCTGCACAAATTGCACCTCTAGCCAAGCTAAACTGAGGAGTCTACATCTTTTCTCCTGAACTGGATATGTTTGAAAACAGTTTCAAAGCACTTCATGCTACCAGTTGCCACAATAGCTGTGACCCTAATGATTAAGGAGATTTCAGTGGAGATGATCCCACATTCCCTCCACCACCACCCTCTTAACTTTTCAAAATCACTTTATCTATAAATACCCACCACATGAATTGAACTTAAACCTCTCTCTCTCTCTCTCTCTCTCTCTCTCTCTCTCTCTCTCGCTTTCTCTCTCTCTAAAAAAAATTTTCACAAAATCTCCTCTCTGTAGCTTAGACTTCTTCAATGGCTTTACACAAGAAGTTGTTGGTTCTCTCACTTATCTCACTGTCACTGTCTATACTGTTCTCTTTTGCAGCCCCAGATGCAGCCAAGGACAGAGAGGAGTGTTCAGAGCAACTGGTTGGACTAGCAACTTGTCTGCCATATGTTAGTGGGAATGCACAAGCTCCTACACCAGACTGTTGCACTGGCCTAAAACAAGTCCTCAAGACCAAAAAGAAGTGTCTGTGCGTGGTGATTGAAGATAGAAATGATCCAGATCTAGGCCTCAGTATCAATGTCACTCTTGCTTTAGGCCTACCCTCAGTTTGCAATGCTCCTGCCAATGTTTCTCAGTGCCCTGGTAAGTAAACTCTTCTATAATATAGGAGAACCTGATAAGTTAGGTTGGTTCTATGATTGACCAAGGGCACTTCTTAAGTTTAACTCTCCCTAGCCGTATAAAATGATGATTGCATGCATATGAGATTTTGTGTTGTAACCGTTAATTTTTATAACGACATGTGATTTATCCTTAAAAACCAACGGGCTATCCTGATCCGGTCTATGGGTTGACAGTCGGGGCGGCCTGTCCATTTGACTGGCAAGACTTACCCAGGACCAGTGCATAGGATTTTTCGGGGGCATGCCACCCCGAAAAATAATTATTCTTTTATTCTAGTCGGAGATGAAATTCTATGGACCATGTTGGTTAGTAATTTTGATGATTGTAATGGATGCATGCAGCTCTCCTCAACTTGCCTCCAAATTCAACAGATGCTCAGGTTTTCTATCAATTTGGTCATGGCTCCAATGACACCGCCAGTAGCCCTGTTCCTAGTGGTAAGGCCCCATTGTGAAACTTTTGCTTTTAGTTTCTTAAGAGTGTAAAATACATTGGTGATTGACCAAAATGCCCAAATTAAAAGTTGGGGACGGACCGAAGACCGAACTAAACCAAGAGCATATATCGGGGATTAATTCCAAGAGACAGATCAGGTAGTAATATATATGAATTGTAAATTCAGACGTCTTGAATTCGATTCTCAACTACTTTTTAAGGTCAAGTCATGAGAGATTTATCCCTCATAAATACTCTATTTCCGACTTAGATGGTCTGTTTTGACTGAACTGATAAAGAGATTAGTCAAAGTGTGCATAAGTTAGTGTAAATATCCTAACCATTAAATCCAAAAAAAAATACGCCGGGGGGTCACCAATGTATTCTACCCTTGTTTAATAGGATTTTCAATAAATGATTTATGTATAATGTTGATTATACTTTTTTTATATGTTTATTTATTTGTCTGAATATTTTTCCAGCAGCTAAAAAAGACAATCCCACAAGTGCCAAAAGCAGTGGAACAAGTAGTCCAGAGGGTAGTGGGTGTCAAAGAGGCAAGGAATGGTTAGGATTGGAAGTCATTGTTGGTGGAGTGTTACTCATGTGGTGCTACACTTTTGTTTAGTCAATTCCTCTCACTTGCTTTCTATTTAGATATCCTTGTTGGTGTTCAGGACCTCTTATCTCTTTGTACTACGAGGTCTGTTTACCATTTCAAAATATTATTTTTCGACACTATACTTTAATAATATTTTTGTCTATTCATGTTTTGCAAAGGTTTCAATTTTATTCACTAACTCGAATTTAACACACACCCCACTTGACAAAAACTCGAAAATGACCTAATTAATTAACACATAAAATAAATATATCAAATTAAAATTAGACATGAATAATACAATTAACGAATATTGTAGACATAAAAATAGGTATTCAATTGGTACTACTATAGACAAAAAATAATTATTTTATAATTTTTAAAAAATATTATATAATTTATTATAAATTAAATATTTTTTTATTAATACGATCATGAAATATATTAAAAATAACACGACACAAAAATAACATACATAACAATCCGGTTACGTTGGGATTGGACCTTTCATATTGTATGGGTGAAATCGAGCCAGAGGGATTGATGAGACTCTTCTGAAAAGCCCTATGATGAAGACACGTGTCCTCGGTTTGCTAGAACAGTGTTGCTTGGATTTAAGCACCATCGGCAAACGAATGTCCTCGCCCCCGAGTTACCTCTCATATAGGATCATGCATTCGGTGTATTATACAACAACACGTGTCCTCGGTCACCCATGTACCTCGGAAGCATACCTCCCTCGGTCCCCGAGATCAGCCTTCCTCGGTGCCGAGAGGTACCCCGTCCTGGACGCCTCCTCTACTCCAGGATAAAGCTACTGACGTAC